CCCCCGGCCCAGGCCATTGTCCATCAGTGATCTTTTTGATATGTTGTTTCATCCTTCTGCTTTAATTCCCCAGTACTTCCCATTATTTTCAGGATAAAACCCACCAATCCCCGTGTACCCCACTGGACAAACCACCCCCACCCCAGCCTCATCTGGAGTCAGTCGCACCTGTCTCTCCTCACTCTGCCCTAGTAGAGCAGCCTCTGTCTTCCACACAAGACAGGGCTCCCTCGAGTCCTACAGCAGTCACACAGGCCAGAGCATTCGCCTTCCTCCCTAGGACTGAGTTATAATGTCACTACTTGGCACAGGTCTCCCCTCTAAGACTGGATCAGGTCCCCGCACCCAACTTCTCTTCGACGGCATTGTCACCGTTGTATTTAAAGACTCACTTATATAATATATTTCTCTATCGCTAAGCTGTAACTTCATGAAGGCAGAGACCACTTCTGTTTTATGTCACCACTCTGATCACAGGCCCCGTACAACGTCTGGTCCAGAGCAGAGACTCAGAAAACATGGGTAAACACTGGCATGAAGAGCCACCAAGTACCGTCACAGACTTATTATCCATTTGGCTTTCTTTTTTTTTTTTTTTTAATTTTTTTTTTTAAATGTTTGTTTATTTTTTGAGACAGAGAGAGACAGAGCATGAACGGGGGAGGGTCAGAGAGAGAGGGAGACACAGAATCCAAAGCAGGCTCCAGGCTCCGAGCTGTCAGCACAGAGCCCGACACGGGGCTTGAACTCACAGACTGTGAGATCATGACCCGAGCTGAAGTTGGACGCTCAACCGACTGAGCCACCCAGGTGCCCCATCCATTTGGCTTTCTACATTCATTTCAGGTGGAAATCACTTACCTGTTTTACAGATGATCAAACTGGTTTCTGCTGAACTTACCTGGTTTACCCAAAGGCGTGAAGATACCAAGTATCAGGATTTGAAGTCAGGACTCCACTTGGTTTCATTTTCCTGGAACTATATCCTTGAGGCACAAAAGCCTCTTGTTGTGGCCCGGCTGTCCCTTCCGCTTGTATCTCTGCCGCGATTGCATTCTTTACCGAGTTCTTTACCATTTCCTTCAGTGTTATTACATTCACAAGCACTTCTTAAATTCTTACATCTAAGGGACAGTGCCCTGAGGGATAAAAAGGTGACTAACACCAAGTTCTTTAGCTGAAGGACACCACAGTTTGCTAGGAGAAATAACTACTTTCTCTCTCCAACCTTGGATTTGTTGGAACTGTTTTAGCTGTAAGTCGTGCAAACTCCACTAAAACTGCCTTCAGCAGCAAAAGGAATATATCGGCTCGTACAAACTGCAATGTCTGAATGTAGTTTAAGCTTCAGGCATGGTTGTATCCAGGGGCTTGGTGTCCTCATGATACAGTCACTTTCTGTCTCCATCTCTTAGGTCTTCTTTTCCCTGTTCATTTTCTTCTTTGGCCAGGCTCCCTTCGACTGGTGGCAAAGATGCCCTCGGACAGCTCCAGGCGCCAACAGTTCTTAGTGCCTGCTATCTCGGAAAGAGAGAGATGCTTTGCCAGGAGCTGGCATGATGCTCATCAGCCCACCTTGGGTCACGAGCCTCTCCTTGAATCAATCGTGGTGGCCTAAGGGACGGAATGTTGCTCACTGTTGAATCTGCACAGTTCAGAACGGTGCCCAACACAAAATAGTGCTCAATACATATTGGTTGGATAAATGAAAAGCGTCTAGTAAAGAGAACAAGGAGAGCTTCATGGGAGAGGTGGCCCTTAAAAAGAGTGACTAGGGGCGCCTGGGTGGCGCAGTCGGTTAAGCGTCCGACTTCAGCCAGGTCATGATCTCGCGGTCCGGGAGTTCGAGCCCCGCGTCGGGCTCTGA